CATTCTAACTTACAATGTGTTAACATTTTTAAGACCCCAGAAAGACTGATTTAAGGCATTTTAAGGCCTTATTAACAATAATTAAGGCCTTATTTTTGGATTGATGAATTCAATGACTTTTAAGACTTTTTAAGGATCTGCAGGAACCCTGAATTATTATACACAAACTGTTCATAGGACAGATTTGAAAAAGACTAGGCTGAATAAAAAACAACCACCACAAGGTCAGGTTATTAATTCATGATTCTCGATAAGTTTTCCTTCATAAAGACAGAAACCTTCATTTACTTTTATTTTAAGCTGGGGTTTTTTTCATTCTTGGTGTTTTCCTTTCATGATTATATTAATTTAAACAATACTTTCATGTCTGTTTTGGTCAAAGCCCCACAGAGCTGCACGTGGCCCCGGAGCTGCAGTGATCCCTGCCCTATGCTCATGAATAAAAGAGTGAGAGTGCTGCAAGTTAAAGCACTGCAAAGAAAATAAAACAACAAACACAGAATCAGAGACGTTATTCTTTAAGACACGACACAAGGACACATTCACTGGTAAATTATGTGCAGACATTATTTGTGCATTAGTGTGTAACCAATGATCTTAGTGTCGCCTCCTCTGTGTATCCTACTCCTCCTGTTCTCATTAGCAGTGACGCCTGGGTGGATTAACCACACATGTACACACAAATGCACTCCAACACACATGAACTGACCGGCCACTAACAAAAGTAGAGCCCTTCAAAGAGAATCTATGATCTTGTTAAGAAAAGACAAACTGTCATAAAATGCGGATTTAATCTCAATGTGAACCAGAAGTCTTTTTTTTTTTTTTTGGCAGCAGACTGTGAGTGTGTATGTGCTACTGCTTATTTGACAATGTAGTACACTTTTAAAAGAAAGTAAATTCTGCCGGTCAGGAACTAATGACAATCAAAGCAGTATAACAGAAGAGAGAGCATTTATATATATAAAAGTAACATGACAGAGTGACAGATTGTGAATAGATGTCAGTGTCGGGGGGGCGGGGGTCTGGTCTCAACTTCATGTCAAGATGGGAGCGATGATGTGGATGTGAAATGGGGATGATGTTTTGATGTGGTCTGGTTGCAGATGTGATAAATCACAGATGGAGAAGCAAAGAAAAGGAGGAGAAAGGATGACAGCATAGTTCTATATAAAAGGGCTGAAAGATACGTTACATAAAAACACATGCTCCTACCTTTCTTGACTTTCTTAGATGGCTGTTTCTTCTTGATAAATTTGGTCATTTCTTCTGGGGGTTCCATCTCCCCATCACCAGCCACCTCCGGTATTGGCTCAACACCTCCTGGAGGAAAGGTACAGTGGATTGGATCCATATTTGACACTAATAAAACATACACGAGCATTTTCTTTTTTTCTATTGTTATGAAATGTTTTTACTGTGACAACAGAAACACAGTTAACCATTTTCGCGTAAAAAGCGGGAATCAAAGAAATCGTTTGTTGCTGGGAACTCTGAGTAAGGCACGTTCAATGTTTACCACCAAGCAAGTTTCCCAATATCTCTACAAGTCACGCCAACAAGCTTGCAAAGAAAAACAAACTCTTTTGTAGTTTTTGGATATATTGTGAAACTAAGGTGATCATTTCAGACATATTTTCAGTTTAAGTTTTATCCTTTGAGCTGCAAAATCAGTAGGTAGGTCACATCATGTTTCCAAAAACTAAAAAAGAAACTAATTTACTTTAATTATAGGTACACGTGATCCACGTATCACACATTTAAGGAGCTTTCACAACATTTTCATGTCTTTTTTTAATGGATCACTGTGAAGTAATGTAATCAATTTTAACACAGACAACAATTACCTTAATTGCTTTTTAAAAATGTGTCAACAGTGAAATTTAATGCCATGGCTGCATTTGACATTAAATAAAACATATTTTGAAATGACATGACTCTCTTAAGTTTGTTAAACACTTTGTAAAACAAAAATCCAGTGGCGTAAAATTCTCTTTAAACCATTTTCTTTAATTACTTGGTCTCATCATGTTGAACAGAACACTACACTAAAGTAAAAATGTATTTAAATAAAAAAACACAACTTAATATATAATTACTTATAACTCTAATGGACATTTAGTTTTTTGCATCACATCACTGTTTCTCAAAATCAAACATCTAAATCACACTTGTCTGCTTCTGAATCTATGGGACATTTAGCTAACTGTGCATGTGTGCATTTACAACAAAATAAATGACCCAAAAGTCAAACTTTTGCGCGACGTTTCAGAAGAAGAGCAGTACAGAACACATGAAACATGTGGTTTGTAAAGCTGAATGTGTGAGCTTGTGATGGTGTGTGATGAAATCCCTCTCAGATCCCACGGATCAGTCTGGATTTAGGGAGCTCCTGAGGTTGATGAATTGGACGCCTTGTCTCTCTCCGTCCCCCCCTCGTCCGTCTCCTCCTCCCCTCCTCTCTTTGTCTCCTCTTCCAGCATTTTTTTTCTCTGCCCTGTCTCCATCTGCTCTTTATCACATCTTTGGTAACTTTTTGTCTATTTGTGTTCTATTCTATTTGTGTTTAGTTTCTTTCCCGCCAGGCTCTCCATCCTTATTTTTTGATTTTCTCCTCTCCATCAACGTCTCCTGCTTTTGTTCTTTTTGATGTTCCTCACCTCCTTGATCCATCCTTTTTTCCCTCTCACTCTCACGCTTTCTCTCATTTCCTCTGCTCCCTGAGGATTTCACAGTTTCATGGTGTTTTGGTTTAAATCTTACTTCACACTTGCGTCCTTATGTGTGTGTGTTGTATGTGTACGAGACAGCGAATGTCCATGTGTCTGCCATCGAGTCTACTTTAAGGTGTCTGAGAATGTGTGTGTGTCTCCAAACCCCCAACACACACACACACGCTACAGCAACATTTGTGTGAGTTCAGATTATCCTAAGCCCCCTCTAATATTTATCCTGGCCTTTTTTAAAGCCAATCTTGTTCTCTTTGGTGAGAGACCAGCCTGTTGCTTCTCACACACAGCTTTACTCAATCACAGTTGTTTGAAATGGGATATGCCTCACTCCTAATTGGGCAGGTGTTTTTCCAAGGCGAGTTTTTTATTTTATTTCATTTCTTTACATTGTATGATTTCACGGTGAGCGTGGATGCATGTTTTAACCACCATTTTTAATGTCAGCATCAGGTAAGGAAATTGGCCACCTCTGGAGCAGTTTTCTCTGAAACAATAATCCTGCCTCACACACACCATCTCCTAACGCTAACCTCACACACATTCCTTTTTCCTCCATGTCTTTTTTTTTTTTTGTAAATGGTCAGTATATTATTGCCTGGTCAGAGTCAGGCTGTTTCTTTTGGCGATGTCGAGGTCTATATTTGACTTACCGGACAGATAATCAGTTTTAGACACTTTAATTATGGCGAGAGGTTGTAATGACAGTAAATGCAGTAATTTAAAACAGAGCTAGTGTCACATGTTTTATTGAGGGTTATTATTACTAGTTGTACCTATGTGTTAGATAAAAAAATAACATCAGATGGTCACAGCACAGCATATTGTTATTGTTTTTTTTCTAAACATGAAGTTATAATTGATAAACATTGATAAACATATTGGGTCTCATGCAAGAACATGTTCGTATTCTTATCCTAAATTTCTTTTACTTTTGTTCGTACAAAGGGTTCGTACGAACGTCACGTCAGATTCAACAAACTCTTCTATCTTCAGGAAAAGTGTGTAAATGAGCTGCGTAAATTCCACCTGTTCGTATCCAGCTGCTCGTGCACGCGAGAGGAGATTAGCATAATTACCACCCCAAAAACACCATATAAGGCTGTGTTTCCTGCCTCAGATACAAGGAAGTGTCCATTCATGAAAAATGACAGCGATAATTAAAAAGAACTTTACAAGGTCAGAGACTGAAGTTCGTCTGTCAGAGATCCAGAAAAGAAAATCTGTCATTTTTGTGTTAAAGCATTTTCATTTATTCAGAAGCGGCAGCGCTGCGACCCCCACTGCGCGCGGTCGCAGGTGGTCTCAGTTGCGGTTCTGAAATAAGCATTTTAAAATGTTTTCAAAATAAGTCTGGCACTTTGGAGAAAATCCAGGACTCGCTGGAGGGATTACGTATCCCCTCTGGCCTGGGAACGTCTCGGTGTCCCCCAGGACGAGCTGGAAAGTGTCGCTGGGGAGAGCGGGGTCTCCTGCTGCCTCCACGACCCGATCCCGGATAAGAGGCAGAAAACAGATGGACGGGCAATTTATATTGTTAGTCTAAATTATTACATTTAAAATTATAACTCTAATTCAAYCAGAATAGCCTATTGTCAACATAATTATGGAATGTGATTTATTTTCAACTCAAAATATCTTCAAACTAACGAAATATAAAGTTATTAGTGAAGAAAACCCGTCTGAATAACAACAGACTGACTGCTCGTAAAATATACGACAGGTCTGGACCACTCGTGAATTTTGTTCGTATCTGAAAAACATCTTAGAATACGAAAACATTGGTGAATGCCACAAATTCTCCTAAATCAATCGTACGCACAACTTAAGAACAAATCTGTGTGTACAAACGGTTCTTGCATGAGGCCCATTGTCTCTCTGTGTAATTTGAGCCTTTTCAAATTAAACTAGTGAGTTCAGTTCCTGAATAATAAGCAGTTTTAAGTGTAGTTTTACAGCTTATTTGATGCAGAAGAAGCCACCAATTCAAATGTCTCATTTATAAAACATGAAATAATAAAACTGAAGGAATACAGTAAGTCCTAATGGCAAAATGAAACACTAACTCTTAACTATTTTTAAGGGATAAAATCCTTCAAATGCCACTGAGTTGAACTAACATTAGCTTTGTATAAAGGAACGTGTTACTGACTCTTTCTACAGGATGGATGAAGCAGAAAATCCATCATTTACTCTACATCGGGGCTATTCAACTAAATCACTCTGAGGGCCGGGGTTATTGAAGCCTACAGCCCGGGCTGCCTGGGGGGCAGGCAGTAATGGTAGGTGAAACACTGCAGCATGTTACAGAACATGTGTCTTTTTCTTTTTTATTTATTTTGTTGCATTGAAACATACATTTGAAATTTACAATTGATTTGAAATCTATTTTTAGATTAAATTAAGTAAGAAAATACAAATATAATTAGAAAAAATTAAAATAAAAAGGATGGAAGTCATCCGCAGGCTGGCTGTGGCCTGTGGGCCACCAGTTGGATACCCCTGTCCTACCTGAACTGTATACAAAACAAACGTCTATGGTTGAGACTCAGTTGAAATGCATGTTGATCCTTAATTGACTCAGAGCATTACAGTTCTAACAGAAGTGATAGCTCTCTAAAGTAAATTTTGTTTTCAGTGACTTTTAGTGGTTTAACTGCACACAGGGACAGCATTGTCATATAATGTTTGCCATCAGAAGGAGTAGTCCTTGTTGAGGCTTTTTGTGAAGATTGCTTATTTGACCAGCTATTCATGAGGGCAAAAAAGTTGACGTATGACAGAAAATTCAAATGGAAAAGCCAAAACAAACATTTGAATTTGATGGTTTCAAACATCCTAGAAAATGTCAAAATCTAAATATATATATATATATAAATATACATATAATAATAACATTAAAATGATACTAATTAAATTAAAGTGTGGTAGTAATAGGAGAAGATGAAAAAGCATATGTTTTCAACTCAGAAATAACATCTATAACGTTCTGGTCTTAATTTTCAGTGCGTTTCAAAAACTGAAAAGGTACATTGTTTAAAGTGCTCTGCAGTGCGGCGAGTGTAACATAAAGCTACGTCCCAGTTTAAAGTTAAAACAGAAGTCATTTTGTGACAGTTTGGAACATTACAGGTCATTTAAACCAGTGCGTGACAATTTGGGGCCACTTTGGGACAGTCTCGGAGCAACCCCGGACACCCCGGTTGAGGGTGAAACTGCTTCCAATAGACGGCCCAGGCTTGGTCTAAAATGTGGAGACTCCAGCGCATTCCAGCTTTATTCTGGGCTGCGGTTTGAAGATGGGGGTGACACTGTGCTGCTGTGGTTACCGGCAATTTGGCTGTGGGCTTTACGCTTTTTCAGTCCCTCCTCAACGCACACATGTCTTCTGTACTTACACACACACCCACACAGTTTTAAAAAAAGAGCTTAAAAAGTCTGAACATGTGCAGCATCGTTTGCAGAAACTGTAAAATAGAACTGTTGAGGAACATTCAAACGCACAAACTGCATTTGCCACATGAACGGAAACATTGGGGCCAAATGACTTAGAAGCTAATGTACATTAATGTAAAATTACTAAAACATACAGAA